CAATGGGTTCAGGGTATAAAAATATAAAACTGATTCACCCAAACAAAACGGCCAGATCGGAAAGATCATTCAAAAAAACCTATAGAATATCGCATCATATTGACAAATCTTAAAGAAAATGTGCGGATTTCCCTAAAAACCATGTCGATTAATCTAAAAAATAATCATAAATTATCAATAAGTAGAAAAACTATCACAAGTCGGCGAAAGAAGGCCAATTTTTCTACGTTATAGATCTTGCAATACCCTTAATATCACTATAAAATAATAAATAATAAATAACGATTTGCTAAAACCTTCATAGGCAAGTCGCATTTATTCTTGGGAAAGTTATTATGGATGGACGATAGTTCCTTTGAATATCATGGATAAAAAAAAAAAAACAATTTATAGCTGGTTACCAAAGAATGTTTGCAAAAAAAGAGGCATGTTTGCGAACGGGTGTCACATGATGAAGAATCGGTATGCTCTGGGGATTCGCATGTGGAAAAATGAAGAAGGATAAATATTTACGTGTCCTGAACGACCAAGTATCGAACTCTGGTTACCGGATCATAGGAAAATCATGTATACTGCAGCAGGACAATTCTCCATGCCGCAATGTCTATATTATAACTGAATTTTCGGGGAATATTTAAGTCAATACATTAAATTGGCCACCTCAGAGCCCTGATCTCAATATTATAGAGAATGTGTGGGCTTATGTAAAAGTAATATGTAGCTTAGACTTAACAATAACGCCCAAGGAGATGGATTGCTGAGGTTTGAGGACCTTAGCAGTATGTTTCAATAGAAACATTACAAAATTTGGTTAGATCGATCCCTAGACGCTACCAGATGTTAAGGGAGGTTTTAGTTCTTATAAATATTTTTGTTATTATAACCATTGTTAAGTTTTTGTCTCACTTTATTTAATAAATATTATTTTACTTTATTAATAAATAGTCAAAATACTTTCGTCCAACCAAAGAATGAGAATCTGCCATGCAAATAATTATGGAAAAAGAATGAGTCATCTCATTAATGCAATATTTTGGGCATTTATAGCTTTTTATGTTTGCTCTCTTTAAAAAATATAATTGGTACCGTTATCTCACCCAGTTTGCAGAAATAATCCGTTGATGTTTATGCAATGTGTTGTCAACATACTTTTGTCATCCATTATATGTAGATATTTAATAATAAAAATTTCAATACTTAATTAATAAAAATAATAAAATAAAATAGTAATAAAGAAGTACACTATACATATCTGCAATTTTATTATGAATTATATGAATTAAATCTAAATTGATAATATAATATAATAAAAGACTAATTTCAAAAATATAGAAAATAGGTTTTAAATGTTTTTTCTTTATTTCAGGAAAACGCATCCATTGTTGATGAAGTTTGCATTTTACAAAAAGAGCTTTCTGCTGCGCGATCAGAAAGACTGGCTCTAATAGAGAGACTTATGTTCTATGAAGGACTTGAAAAAGCTGCCGTTGGACAAGATCAATGCTTAAATGATGCTCGAATTCAAGAGCAGTCGAGTAAACGACTTGAAGAAAAGCATACTGATCTGATTAATAACAGATGCGAAAACATATATTATGAAATACCAACATTACGTCAGAAAACGTTTCCTTTAAAATTAAATAACATTTTGGTACACTCAATTGGTGAAATAATTCCAGCAAATCCAAACTTCCATACGGCACATTGGATATACCCAGTTGGATATGTAGCAACAAGAATATATGCACATCCACGAGATCCGCGAAAAAAGTGTGTATTTACATGTAAAATACTTAACAATGCTGGAGTTCCTCAATTCCAATTAATTCCTGATAATGATTTAGATGGAGTGTTTTTTGGAGAAACAGCTAACCAATGTCATCAAGAACTGCTTAATTGTATACAGGAGTTTACGCATGAATCTTTAAAAGATGATTTTAAGACAAAGGGCGAAGTGTTTTTTGGCCTATCGAATCAAAAAGTACAATTTCTTTTGATGTCAGATGTAAGAATTAAACAATGTACTAAATTTAAAGGATATATATGGAGTGGTGAAAGAGAGCAGCGTGAAAATAACGATCCAACATTATCCTTTGCTGACCTTCAAAACTATCTTAGCTAATTGTTATATATATATATAATATATATATATATATATATATATATATATATATATATATA